TCAGAATCTATACATTGCTTTTATTGCCAATGTGTATTGAAAATAAGGCATTTCCCCCGATGTAAACTAATATCTTAAAGAACACTTAGACATATCTTGGGTTACTACCTCTAAAAGTTTCATTTCTACTCAAGTTCCAGGTAAATGTATGTATTTACTGTGAAATGATCATATCCCTTAAAATCATAGTTAATACTAATTTTTTATTTTTCAAATGCAATATTTTACTATTGATGCTGTTAATTTTTCTATATTGTTTCTCAAGTAATTTGGTTTTTTAAAATGTTGTTTTAAAGTTGTTCTTTTTTTTTTTCCCATCTTCAGGGAACCTTTCTATAATTGGTTGATTTATAAGGCAAAACCAATAAGTGAAATTAACAAAAAACTCAAACTTTAAATAAAATGTTCTTATATTTGTGCATATGCTGTTTTGTTTTCATTTTATAAAAGATGGCTAAAGATTGTGTAAGATAGTGTCTCTCTTAAACAGATGAAGAAATTAGCTACTTAACTCTTAGTTTCAAATGCAAGTGGTCATCTACATCAGTCATTGGTGGATTTACTATCTGAAATAAATAGGGAGGAATGGCTTGTTTAAAGTATGGCTTTCAGCTGTATCTTGTAGAATGCAAACTTTATCAGAGAATGTACCATGACAAGAATTTTCTTTCTTCTTTTCACTCCCTCTGTTAGATTAACTTCTGAATGTCCAGCTAACAATATTAAAGTGTTAAAAAATATTTGTTTGTTCATTCAACATGTTAGAGAAGTTGGGTTTCAATACGTTATAGTATCTTTTATTTTCATTGTTGAAAAGACTTCAGATGACATAGCTGAACAAACTTGTGGTTTAATTTGTAAGGATTATTTTTTTTAGACAAATGATAATTAAAAATTAAGGAAATTATAATACCAGTTAATATCGCACAATAAAAATAAATTTAATGTTTTTAAATTTAGTTAATGCCATAGCAATATCTGAGCATTTGTGGGGTGAGGTATATATCTTCAATATGCTTTGTCATTTTTTTTTCCTTCTAAAGAAGGTCTGCACTGCACATAACTAAAAAGTTTGGTTTTTTAGCTCTGTCTTTAGAAGAATGTTTAAGCTTATAATGCTCTCATATTTTTCATTTAGCCAAAATATTACTATTTACATTTCTATGCAGTGCAAAATTATAAAGGATTTGATGGGAGCAATAGCTGTCCCCATATTTTACTCAGGAAAATCTCATTATTCTCAAAGGACATTTGTTTGATTTATAACCAAGACATTATTAGAAAAATTTATAGTATAATTAAAATGTGATACTTAAATACAGGGAATAACTTTCATAATCCCATCCACACCTTTAAGTCAATTTATCTGTACTTGGTACTTTACAAATATTTTAAAATTTGATCATCATAAGAACATTTTAAAAGTTTTATTCCAATATTACAAATGAAAATTGAAGTTCAGAATATTTAAGTAAGTTTCCTAACACAGTACGCTCGGTAAACAGCAGAGCCAGGACTCAAATAAAACTACACCACATTTTAAAGCTTTTCCTCTTTGCCGAAATATTACACTGCCTTTTTCACAATGATTCCTTTTGATTCCATTTTACTTCACAATCCCTTATTGAGCTTCAATTACATACAAAACTTGACAGTCTAGGTATTGACTTTTGCTTATGGGCTTCAAGATACCCAAATGTTATAACTCAATTCAACTCTATTTATCTTCCAGTACTTTAAAGACATTCTGTTACTATGGATTTCACTGGAAAAAAAAAAAATCAAGCTATATTTCCTCTGGCTTCTTTCAGTTCATGAATTTCTAATTAATCTATAAAATTGTTCCCTATTGTTATATCAACATCCCATTTTAATTTTTGGTTTGAAGTTCCCTTCATTAACCATATTTATGTTCCTCTTTTCCATGCTTGGGTATCAATGAAGAGGTGCTTTGGGGAATATCAGGTGAACTATTTAGAATCAGTGAATGGGGTACCATAAAGAGCACTGGAAATTAGAAATTCTGAGTCCTTATCTTTAGAAAAAAGTGTGGAGGGTAAGAGTCCTTAGAAGTTATGTGAATTTCTGAGGATCAGACATTCAGTTAGGGAGCCCAGGCAGAGAGGCTGTCAAGTCAGGTCTCAGTTTGTGCATTTTTTTTTGTTTTTTGTCCTTTTTGAGACCGGCCGCACCGCACTCAGCCAGTGAGCACTGTGAGCGCACCGGTCATCCCTATATAGGATCTGAACCCTCGGCGGGAGCGCTGCTGCTCTCCCAGCGCTGCACTCTCCCGGGTGCGCCACGGGCTCGGCCCAGTTTGTGCATTTTTTTTTGTTTTTTGTCCTTTTTGAGACCGGCCGCACCGCACTCAGCCAGTGAGCACTGTGAGCGCACCGGTCATCCCTATATAGGATCTGAACCCTCGGCGGGAGCGCTGCTGCTCTCCCAGCGCTGCACTCTCCCGGGTGCGCCACGGGCTCGGCCCAGTTTGTGCATTTTTGCCGTTCTTTCAGCCAGTGCTCTGTGCTCTCTGTATATTTTTACTAGGCTCTTTTCACTTATCCAGTTACTTATTCTGTTTTCTATATTTGTCCATGTTATCTGCCACATTGATTGCAAGCTCTCTGAAGTCAGGCATTAACTTCATCAAGAAGTTCTGGTATGTATTTGAAGTGTTCCGTTGAATATTCCATCATTTAGCCAGGAGACTGGATATTTTTGAAAAGTATTACAAATGGAAGAGCTGCTGCTTACATATTTGTGGTTCCACAGCAATGCTATTAAATCATCCCATGATTCTTCTAATGAGATCAGAGAACTCATATCAAGTCTTAACTCTTGTATGAAACAGTCAAATTCTATGAAAAGAGACTGGCACAGAAAAAGAAAATGCAAATCAGGCAAAGAAAAATTAAAAACCATTTTTGCAATTGATCTCTAAAATGCATCAATCTTTGTTTTTATTTTTACAGCAGTATAAAGAACTGATTTATCAATGAGATCAGTGACACAATACCTCAACATCATTCTAAAATAAGAAAACATGTTTAGTTTTTATTTGATAGCAGGAAGGATAACTAATCAATGAGAGTTTGTACTGGTTAAATAAACTTAACTGTATGAATAAAGAAATTAAAAATATTTATTACTATAGATAATCTAAAGTTGCTATATTTTACAATTCCACTAACATGATAACATTTGAAAAAGACAAAAGTATGCATCTGTTGGGCTGCCACCACTCCACGTGCTACAGCAATTGCTAGGGTGAAGGGAGGCCACACCAAACGGTGGCTATTTAAGTTCCCCACCCGCATGGTCCACACAAGATGGCGCCTAGAGGAAGCAAAGGGGGAGTGTCACCTTTAGTTCTGCAAAAAGTTTTATTGGTAGTTGCGCTTTTCAGCGATGGTGATCAGTGCATGATCAGTAGGCTAAGCATAGGAAAGTAAGGCACATGCACATGTGACCTTTCCAGTGATTGGCTCTCAGTGTGGAAATCCCCGCTTGCTTAGATATAAATACAAGTGCTTAAAAGACAATAAACCGGGGCAACCCAGTGGCGCACTCGGGAGAGTGCAGAGCTGGGAGCGCAGCAATGCGCTCTTGCCGTGGGTTCGGATCCTATATAGGAATGGCCAGGGAGCTCACTGGCTGAGCACGGTGCAGGCAACACCAAGCCAAGGGTTGTGATCCCCGATTGGCTCACGAAAAAGACAAAAAAAAAAAAAAAAAAAAAAAAAAAAAAAGACAATAAACGGAACTTCTTGATGGAACCCCCGTCGCCTCTGAGTGTTCCTTTGCAGGCTGAATAGGTGGGCGGTGCACTCACCCACCTTCGGGGATCCTTCTTCCGCTTTCGCTGCACAGGGCAACTTATCTGGTCCTGCCTGGGGGGAATAGGGAGTCTGCTGGGGATCACTCAGTGGCCACGGCCCGGGAAATCTGGAGCCCAGGCCTGGCTGACCGAGAGAGCACCCTGACATGCAACTTTAAATACAGATATTTACAGACCATGTACCACACATTTAAAATTAAATATTTCCCTGAGGTTGGGCTGGCTGGTTAGCTCAACTGGTTACAGTGCAGCCTTACAACACCAAGGTCATAGGTTCGGATCCCTGTGCTGCCAAAGGGAAAAAAAAAAAGAAAACAACAACAAACAAAAATATATTTCCCTAAAGACACATATATGTATTAGTATTAAAGGAGATTTGTAATAAAAATATAATCAGTGGAAGAACACTTTCTGAATATGAGCCAACATGGCAGATGCCTGAGTCACTGGCACCTTCAACTATGTGCTTCTTCACGTCCTCTCATTTCTAATTTCTACCCTGACTCTAAAAGTCCAAGTGTGAGATCTAATTACTCCTGGGAAGAGCCACCTCTGGTCATTAGTCAAACCACTGGTTGCCTATGTTAGTAGCAAGTTCTCTTGGCCGGCAAGAAGATGTCCACTGAGTCCCAACCTGGAGATAAGCATAATCTAGTTATGTTTCTGTGACCAGCAAAAGTGCTTCATATACCTGGATAAGTTCCTGCTCACTTAAGAATAAGCCTAGATGTGGATCCCATTTTCACTTATCAACCTAGGCTATGGTTAACCTGGAAGCTGTGTAGAGATGAACATGTCTTCAGAACATGAGCTCATAACTAGAAGTGACTATTCTGTCAGAATAGTTGCTAGTCTGCAGGCAAACTTTGTAACCCAAGAACAAATACTCATCTTCTCTCACTGTGAGATCTGGATTACTTCCATACTTTCTATTGTTGAGAGAAAGAGAATGGAAATCCTTGTGGAGAACACTGTCTGAACATATGGATACCTGAGTATGTTGTTGTTAACATCTAGGGAAAAAAATTCAAACTAGGTATTTGGTCAAACTGTTTACAATTTTGCAAAAGCTTAACCTTTACTTAACATCACAATCTTACAAAACATCATTATAACTTCTTATTGCCTTTTGATTAAGAAACAAGTTTTTTATTTCTGATTATGAATGGAATGATGCCACATGGAAGGTTTTACAGAACATATTGGCAGATGCAGTATGTATTTTGTTAGCATAAAAATTTTGATTTATATTTTTAAAATTCTTTCACATTATGTATTTTATTTTAAAATATGTAACCATTTTGTAACATAAACATGCTACATCTTAGAAGCAGATGTGCAAATTTGCCATCAAAATGAGCAAAATCAATTTTTGTTATAACCAAATGGCAACATCTGATTTCACATCTTGGAATTCATTGCAAGTAAATGAGCGTGATCGTCTCCTAAGATTTGTTGGTCTCTGAGGCCTTCCTTCTATCAAGTCTAAATAGATGTCAGATTTCAGAAAACGCGTATAACTGTCTTGTTCCATGAGCTGATACACTCTGCTTTGTGCAGCATCGAAACTGTGGAGGGAGGGTTGGGTGACGCTCTTAGTAATGACTTCTTTGGTGTGAAAATCGAGATTAACCTGGATAAACAAAAACACACAAAAAGTGTAATTATAATCAATCTACTCAAGTAAGCACCTTTGAGAAACAGTACAGGACTGACACTGTGTTGGAGTGGGCATGCCACCCTTTCATGCCGGGATGTTTTTCCTCTTATCAGAGCAGGGATCCAGTGATTGATTCTGGGACAGCATTTCATCTGGCTTTTCTCTCCCTATGCTTCTGGTCCTTCTCACCCTCTGCTAATTTAGAATAATAAAACACTGCAATGGTAAGTATCACAGAGATCATTAGATTAGCTCACTCATTTTCAAGATGGGAAAATAAACCTCACAGAGGTTAAATTATTTGAGTGTTCGGAAAGAGTGAGCTTGAGGTTGATTTGGGGTTTCAATACGAGGCTTCTGTTTATTCCAGTGCTCATTTTGTTATGTTGACGCTCTCCTACAAGCAAGCCTGTGCTAAAGCATGAATGTCTTTTAAAGACATAAAATCCTTTAATGCCTTTTATTACAGCACTGCTAATATATCTGGTTCTGATGGTGGTGGGTTTTCAGGCAGGAGTATTTTCTTTCCCTTTGTGGGTAACACCATAAATACCATATAACTAGCTGCCTTCTTTTTCCTTTTTTCAACCTGTGTATAGGTTGGCCTTGGGGAAGAGAAAATAATACATTAAAACACAAAACAGATTGAAAGAAGGAAAATAGCCATTATTTCTCGTGGAACAATATCCACATGGACAATGCTACCTCATGAAGAGCCCTAATTTATAGTCAAACAAAACCCTTAGTGACAGTCTAGCAGTCTATTACTTCAATGAAGAAGCACTGTGTATTGAACACATAATGGAAACATAGAAACTCAATTCAATTAATATCTAAGGACAGTCAAGTGACATTTTCTGGTCTTACAGCCATTTTAGAAATTGTATCACATAATTATCTCATATTGAGTTTGCAGTCAAAGAAAACCACAATGGTTTTTTCACTCTATTAAGAAATTTTCTTTTAGCCTGTTTTAAAGTAGAAGAATAACCCATTTGGGCAAATAAAACTTTGTATAAGTAGATGAGCTAATATTAAAATGGTACGTGATATGAATTTCTTGATTTCTCTTGCCTTAGTCACTCTGAAATCTTTAATTTCTGTGAGAGGTTGCTTGTGCTAAGGTGGTTAATTTGGATAAGAGAATGAATCTAAATGTTGCAATTAATTGTATTCACTCTTAGTCTAGGATGAAAATAACTGAGTGACTTCAATTATAGCTTTTCTTCCATGGTAATATCTTACTATGTATTTTGTTTTTATGTAGAAATCTACATAAATAACCATTTTTGATTCAGTAAAATCCTGCACTTTCTGGTAGAATGTATGGGGGTCCAATTTGCTGATGGCAGATTCTCTCAAAATTTTTTTCAAGCAATTATAAATTTTTATGATCATCTTCATTGTACCTCTTGCGGAGCATCATTCTGTATAAATTTCTCATATATTTCTTTTGCTTTAAGGAGAATTTGTTGAGGTTCTTTGCTTTTCTTGAAATCTTCACAGGCTATCCAAAATTCAATGTTTTCCTCACTGAATTCAGTTTTAAGAAATCTGGTAAAAGCCTCCAGTCCATCTACAAGAAAAGTAAAATATATTATAACTGTAAAATACTAATCCTGGGAAAATATACTAATTAATATCAAAGTATGCCTGCAAATATTAACAAAAAAGTTTCATCTTTCTTCTAATGCAGTATGGCAGCATGCACCTTGCACAGTGTACATGAGGGACCTCATTTGAATCAGCTGTAGTCTTCACAATCCTGATAGGTAAGTATCATTCCTATTGAATACTTAGGCCTAAGTGTAGACCTTACACCTAAGAGTAAGAGGGACCTATACTGTGGACCTCACTTTGTGTCTCTTTTATCCATGCCCCTCCCGGAGTGTGAGGGGTTATTCCACAAAGCCAAGAACACTTCTAGACCAAGCTTCTAGCCCTCAGGACTGTGGAATTTCCTGTCCAAAGACTCTATGTTTCCAGGGTTTGCACAGCCCTCTTTCCCAAGTCTATCCACTGAAAACACACTGACTCACTGGTAAGCATATCTTAGGCCTGAGTATGGACAGGGCTTGGATTTGCAGGCTGGGGGCCTACTCAAATGTGCAAGGAGGCCTCTCATAGGGTAGAACCAAATCATGGGTAGACAGAGAAAGAGGGTAGGGCCATGCTTATAGTGTGGAACTGTGAAGGGTCTGAGAATTTTAAATTTAAATGAAATATTCCAAGTGGTTAGCAACATATATTTGTCAAAGTAGAAGGATAAAATTTATGTCATAAATAGTTATTAACTTGATCTATAACTCAAGCATTTAGACATGTAGTATGGGACCTTTTCTTCCCACTTTTGTCCTGAGCCCCATAAGTGTTATGGGAAGTTTCGAGTCTTGTTGCAGACTGGCTGAGCTCAAATTCATGTTCGTCTAGTTTCTATGTGGTCCTAAGTGAATTACTTTTCTTTTCTGTGCCTCAGTTTCTCAGTATTTAAAATTAAAAGGATAATGATATTTACCTGATAGGGCTGTTTAGAGAATTAAATGTGTTAAAATACTCAAAGTGACTGACACATAGCAGGTATCCTATAAAGATTTTGGGGATGATGGTTGTGATAGTAATGAGGTAGTGATCATGATAATGATGATGATGATAATGATGATAATTTAACAGTTATTTAAGGCTCATCCAGATACAGTTTACATAGCTAAGAACGTGGCAGACTTTGGATTTGATCCTAAAAGAGTCTGGCTTCAATACTAGCACTCTTTTAACTATTTTTGGCATTCTACTTTTTTTTTTTTTGGTCCATAGGCATTTTTAAAATCAAACTTATTTATTTTGAGAAAATTACAGATTCCCATGTATTTGTAGGAAATAATGGAGTGAGATCTCCTGTACCGTTTATCCAGTTTCCATCAATTTAACAACTTGCAAAATTATAGTAACATATCACAACTAGGATAATGATATTAATTGATATAATCAAGATACAAAATATTATAAGGATACTTCATGTTGCTGTTTTATAGCTACACTCACATCTTTTCTGCACCCAGCTCCTTAACACCTGGGAACCAGTAATCTGGTTTCCATTGCTATAATTTTTTAAATTCACAAAAGTTATGCATATAGTATATATTGTTTGGGATGGCTTTTTTCATGCAATATAATTTTCTAAGGATTCATCCAGATCAATGTATCGTTTGCTCCTTTTCATTGCTGTGTTGTATTCCATGATATGGATATACTATGATTTTTTTTTTTACCATCCACCCATTAAAGAACATATGAATTATTTTTAGTTTTGTTTTTTAATTTTTTTTTGGTTATTACAAATAAAGCTGCTATAAACATTTATGTATAGTTTTTTATATAAACATGTGTCTTTGTTTCTCTGGGATAAATCCCAAGAAGTGAAATTGCTCGATTGTATGGTAGTTTCATTGTAGAAGTATGAGGGAAGGAAAATATGTTACTTTTTCAGATAAACTTTTTCAGAGGAAATCACATCAGAATTGGATTTAAATTATTTTTAGCAATATTTCTTTAGATTTGGTGTTACTCTTTAGTTATGGTCTATTTTTTCTTTCTGCTGTCACAGGGAAGTTGTTATGCACAGAGGTCTCCATTTGGACTTCTCAGCTGACAGCATCTGATAATACTGACCCCTCTTTTTAGGAAAACTCTTCTTTGCAGGAGTTTAGGACAATGCATCCCCCACTCACAGTGTCTGCTAACTTCTGTGTGCAGTTGTTTGTGTTGTTTTAACTTCCTCTGTTCCCCATTAAATATGATGTTCTGTCCTGTACCTTCTTCTCCTACTCTCTTTTTTACTGTCTTCCCCTTCTGTTCCCCACCCTCCTATTTTTTTCTCTTTCAACATTTTTCCTGAAACTCCTTTTTCCTTACTCCCTTCTCTACTTTATACATATTATCAGCATCTGCAGGCAAAACTAGGCACTACAAACAATTTTGGAAAACAATAAAGTTTCTCTGAATTAAATTTTAATATCATTGAACATGTTAATCTCATTACAGGAGTCGTTAAAAGCAAAATGTTCTCTTGACTTCAATTATTCCCCCAGCTACTGAACAATATCTTTTCTTCTTACAAATATAAAGTCTTGATTAAGTTTTTGACATTTGGTCTTTTAATCCCCTTCTTCTTTTTTACTTCCCAACACATTAAAATGTGGTTTCTGTTCACTTTACTGAAATCATTTTTGCCAAACTGACAATGTTATATTCGGCAAACATTTTTTTTTTTCAGTCCATATGTTACCACTGCATTTCTCTACGACCACAGGCGTGGCAGAGATTTGCCTGTGATTCTCCTTAATGGCTCCTACACTCCTGAGCTTCTTCTTATTCCTCCGACTATGGGTCCTCCAAATATTTCTCAGTTTATCCTTTTCCATTGTTCCCTTAAATTCCATTTCCGGGGAAATCACTTCAACACCCAAACACAATCATTATGCTCAGGACTTTCAGAACTCATCTCCAGCCTCTTTCCTGAGCTTCAAGCTCATATCAACCAACATGTGCTAAGTCTCTCCATTGGATTTCCCACCGCAATAGTCACATCACCGCTGTCTTTATCATCTTCACTCAAAACCTTGCCTGCATGTGTCACATTCAATGACAGCATCCACTCAGGGACTTGAACCAGAGCCCTGGCACTTATGCTCAGAATGCCCTGTTTTCTTCTCACTTCATACACAGTTGATGATCAAATCTTGTCAGTTTTACCTCTTTCGTATATCTTACCTCTGTCTTTTTATTTTTATGCAATCTGTAGTTACTTTTATTCCAGCCAGAATTATCTCTTATGTAGACTATTAGGGGCTACTAATTGGTGGCCCTAATGCCAGGTTTCCCAGGCATCTCTGTCCACCCTCTCAGTTTTTAATACACACTCCAGTCAGTAATATCTTTCTGTGATACAAATTTAACTATTATTCTTCACTGTTTAAAATTTTCTAGTGGTAGTCTTCGTTTCTTCCCAGTATTTTTAAAAAATATATTTTAAAAAAGTGTCAAGCTCCAGCCACAGACAAATACTCATATTTCCATGCATGTGCCATGTTCTTGCATTCTCTTAGCTTTAGCTCCTGTTGGAAATACTTCTCCCCTCCTGCACCAGTTTCATCCATCCAATCCGTACCATTCCCACAGGTTTAAATTAGAGGCCATCTAGTCTGGAAAGACTTTCACCAATCCCTCAAAAACAGATAGGGTGTTGTTCATTCATGGCTTCCTCGTACACTGCGTGATACTTAAAATACTGCACTGCAGTTACCTGTTAGCTTTTGCTGCACACGCGACACTGTGAGATTCACGGGCTGAAGACTGTTGTCTAATTTGCCAACAAGTCCCCAGTACCCAGCATGAAAAAAACACTCAAATGATTTACTAAAATAAATAATCAAAATAATTAAATAAAATTAATAGTAAAAAGACACAATTTTATTAAAAAGCACAAAACAGTTCCAGGAAATGTTTTGTATCTTAAATGAAACATCAGAACTATAACATTTACAACAGAAATTGACAATCAGAGCTAGTAAGCATAAAAAAGCAAAAAACAAAACAAAACAGTACAAAAATTAGTCCTATTGTAAATAATGGACAAGTGCATGTAATCAAAAATACAGGAGTCGATTTAAGAACTCATTCCTTATTTCAGTCTGATGCCTTTAAACATTTAATTAATGTTCTAATTGTATGCTTGGCCAGCAAAAGTTTTATTATGATTTGGCTGCTTCTTTGGGCATATGAAAAGGTAGAGAAATGGCTATCTGTGACAGTTTTATTTCTGAATCTATATTATTAAGTTGGAATTCAGCCTCATGAGTTTTGTCAACCTGAGCCTTCTACTAATAGTGGGGTCCTACTTGGCATGCTAACAAGATGACAACATCAGTTTTGAGAAGTTGCAAGATTGGAGTTTGTAGAAAATGCCAGTCTACGTGGCTTCAGACAAGGTGGCAAACTTTCCTGGAGGTATTCTGTTCCCTCTCAGATATCTATCTGCGGGTTATTCAAGCAAATTCCTAATTTTATATTATGTTCCTAACCTCAGTCAACTACCTTATTAAATAAGTTTGTTTGCATTATAAACTCCCCACTGAACAACTCGTTTGCTTATTAAAAAATATTTATTGCTTGCTATGTTTCAGACACTATCCTAGGTACTAGGGACCAGCAGTTTAAAAAGTAGAAAAAGTTTTTTTTTTTTTTTTTTGTCTTTTGTCTTTTTTCCGTGTCCGGCAATGGATCGCAACCCTCAGTGTTGCCCCCGTACCGGACCGGGGACCGGCAACAGGATCGCAACCCTCGGTGTTGCTCCCGCGCCTCGCTCAGCCAGTGAGCGGGAACCGGTCTGTATGTGGGATCCGAACCCTTGGGCGGGAGCGCCGCCGCACTTCCCTAGCGGCGCACTATCCAGTGCGCCACCAGGCCGGCCCGTAGAAAAAGTTTTTGATTGGACATTTAATCTATAGAGTCCTACCTTAAACAGAAAGAAATATTATGATTAAATTGTAATGAGGAGGAGGGCCATGACAGTAACAGGAA